AAAAAAAAAAAAAAAAAAAAAAAAAAAAATTGAAGCAATTATGGAGGCTAAGAGCAATTAGTGAAAGATCAGACGAGGAGGTTAAAGTGACCAAAAAAGTCTATCCATTTTCGATGATCAAGCCACTAGCTTGTTACTGATGTGCTTTAGAGAACAGGACAAAGTTTGTCTAAGCAAAAATAGATAGGAAATTGGCTTCTCCCTAGAATTATTTTCTGACCATCTTTTTTGGCTTCTTAAGTTAATTTTACACTATTTGGGCACTTTCTATAAAACTCGGTTATCCTGATTTAATAAAAGTTTCAATTGTTAACGGTTCTTTTTCTTTTTTTTTCTTTTTTTTTTGCAGTTTTTGTTTCTTTTCTTTCTTCCTGATCAGGTTACTGAAATTTTACATCTCAGAATAAAAAAAATTGACGAGTTCGAATTAGACTGTTGCAGCAGTAACATTAGCTCAATGATGGCTTTATTCGCAGTGCATTATGACTAAATTCAATTAAACGTTTCTTTCTCGTTTAGTACCTTTCTGTCAGATCATTAGAGCTGTAAGTTCATAGATGGGACAGATAAAAAACAAACACTTTAATATTTATTGATCAAGACAATCATGTTTCTTATTTGCTGTGTCAAAATGATGCATACAGTTATCTGAAAATACCCATAAAAATATTAAAAAAGCCCAACGCTTTAGTCGACATATATATATAATTTTTTTGGGGTAGGCGAACGCAACAGACACGCATATACACAAGTAAAATTGATACTTTTTTCTCAGGTTAACAGAAGAAAATTGGCTAGTCTAAAAGTTTTTATTCTGTTTCTATCTACAGATTCTAGTTTTTTCCCCATTTTTCTCAATTTAGTGCTACATTAGCATCTGGTTTATAAGCAAAAAATCTATGTTCTTTTGCTTTCTTCTCTGTGTTTCAAAAGAAGAGGAGATGATACTACTGTTCTTGGTAAACAGGAGAAGTCAATGATGGTTTCTTAAAATTCACAGTGGACAACGGGATCAAACCATTGCCAAATGATTTTTCAAATACGACGGAGGAGAAAAATTGTCAGAAAAAGAGCCTGATATGGCTAGTAGTAAATTGAAAATAATGACATTTGTAAAACTGCATTTAGAATCACTGTTTAAATTATTCTGCAATAAGCGAAAGAGATGAATCAAAAATTTCATTATAGAATATCTGTTTAAGGCCATCTGGTTACAGACTAGGGATCAATAAAAACTAAAAGATCGAGGATTTAGTAAATTGGAACGAGAAAATAGATTATGAAAATTCTAAGAAAAGGTGTCTTTTTCTTTTTATTTTAAAAGAGTAAGCTATTTTGCAGTGTATCCGTAGACTTATAAAGTTAAAATACAGTGTTGTATACCCCACCCAAGATTGCTCTAATAAATTACATTTATTTCTGAAAAACTTTAGAATCCTACAATTTATAGCAACAAATGGTGATTAATTTCAATTAAAAAAAAAATCCAATAAAATTCATAAGAAAAAAAGTTGCGCATTACATTTCGTCGAAGTTTAAGGAAACGTCAACTTTGTCTTTCTGTAAAAACATTTGAAAAGCTGCAAATTCGTTCATTTTGAGCAAACGAATAAAGATTTCATTCTGCTTAAAAAAAGATTTTTTTTTAATAATTACAATATTTTAATTTACATGATATATGAGAAAAATGATTTGATTTTGGAAAGAAACTACAATTTAAAACAAAAGCTGGAGTTCGGTGGGCTTGGTACCTCTTCGTCAAAATCTTGCCTTCTCAATTCTTGATTTCCAGAAATTAATATTTATAAGTTTGTTAACTGATTTTAACGGCTTGATCAATGAATATTGAAGTGTTTGTTTTTTATCTGTCCCATCTATGAACTTACAGCCTTATTAAAGCTGTAAGTCATTAGAGCTGTCATAAAATTACATCTTGGTTTACTTCATAGAATTGTTGATTTTACTTTCATTACTTATATGTGCTCTTTCAGATTTTTTCTGAGCTAATAAGATCAAAATTAATGTATTTCAAATTTCTGACGAGATCTAGAAGTTGCCAAAAAACCAAAATTAGCGATGCAATTCAAAGGGAGAAGTTACAAAGTCGTACGTAGCCTAGGCTATCTTTCTTTCCTCTAAAATCTATATAAATTATTAGAACTGGTAACCATTGTTGATTATTATTGATGATAGGTTAGTACAGTGATATGATATCATACTATACAATAATAATAAGTGCTATAATAATGGTAATGGTGATAATAATAATAATAATAGTAGTAATAATAATAATAACAGCAACATTTTTAGATGTATATCGGTACAGTCCAACAAATTTTAAAGAGTTGAAAAAATCGAAAGCAAAAATGTATGAAACCGGTTTTGTATTTGCTGTTTGAACTTCAAAAACTGTTAACAACATTCTCCGATAGTAAAAACAACAAAGATTCAAATAACTGTAATTTAGAAGTAGCTTATGTAAGAAAATTTTTGAAAATTATTAGCAGACGTTTGTAAAGCTGAAGTAAAAAACACAGAAAAAAATTTTATCTAAACATTTTTTATTTCGTTACTTAAGCACCTATTAGAACTTTATAAAGCTTGAAAAAAGAATTTTTTGGTGAGGTAGCACCTTTCTTCTTCTACAGCAG